TATTCGTATGGGCAACTAGGCCAGAATAACGAGCACAAATGTTTCGTCTGTCCAAATTGTAATAAAGCCTATAAATCGTCCAACTCGTTGAGGCGCCACGTCGAGTACGAGTGCGGCATCGCGCCACGATTCAGCTGCTACTACTGCAGTCATTGCAGCAAGCGAAAAAGTCACATGATATCGCACATACAGTTCAAGCACAAACAATCCAAGATCGCGTATTTCTTGGATGGAAAACTCTGCATAGAGAATTATGAATAATATTTTTCCATGAAAGTTCGAACTTTCATGTAAAATAAAGACTGCCATTTTTGAATTCTGTACGAATTGACTATAATGTCTAAAGTATATTTTTTTAAGTTAAAAGTACATCACATCGAAAATTGATGATAATTTTGTAAAATTCGCTTGTGATACTACATAATATAGTAATAGTCGTCTATAATGAAAAATAGCATTGGATGAATTATGAAAGATTTTTCTTTGATTTTTAAGTTGTTATGTGATACTTTATTTAATTATTTATTAAAAATTTTTTCAAAAATGTATCGAATCATTGAAATACGAAAATTGATGATAACTTTATGAATTTTGCAGATTATAAAATCAGATTATATATTATAAAATTTCGTCGATTATTTGAAAAACTATGTTCGAAACAATTTTTTCGTTATATATAATTTTTTATGTGTAAAAAATCAACTTCATTTCAAAAATATAAAATAGCTGGTTGAGATGTAAATATATCATAAATAATTGTTAACAATGAAGTATTAAATTCATTTGGGGGATGTCGATGATAATATAAAAAAAAGAATTAATAATAATACAGGCATAAGTATGAAAAAAAACGTAATCAGGTGAATCATTCATAAAATTACATATTTTTTCGAAAAATTTATAGATGAATATAATCATCGTATCGAATATCTGCGATGAAAGCCATTATTATCATTATTGATTTTTACTAATTTTAATTAGAAATGTATGTTTTCAGGTTATTTTAACCCCGGTGTTCATAAATTGCTTGCAGTCACTGGGATAGAAATTTCAAGTGGAAATCCGATTCGCAACGATATCGAGATTTCGTCAAATGCGTCAGTAAACCAATATTTTCGTATCATTATTAATTTCACAAATTAATTCTGCGAGTGAACTTGACGATAGACATGACACATACGTATAATATTAATTTAAAAAAATTAAGACATATTTGACTGTTTAATGAAGTTTTAATAATTAATAATGAATTATTTTAAACTCATTCATAGCAAAATTCATAGCATAAATTTAATTCACACTCTTGACAACGATAATTATTTTTTGAAGAACTTCAATGAATTGCTTTACAGATGCTGCCTCTTATCTCGGTTGCGCTGTCAGTCTCACTACAGCGCGTGATATATCTCATTCGAGTTTGAATATATATGCTACTGTACAGTACGCCGTAGTAAAAACGCGCCAAAGTGTATACTAGACGCTGTATAAGTCCGAAGACGGCACCTGGCGAGAGTGCACGCGCGCGCGCATCTTTTCTCTGTCCGATCCGACTGCTTGCGCTGCGCGTGTGTGTGAGCCGGTGCACATGTACGTACCGGCGTTCACTCGTCTGTCTACGAACACGTGTTTTGGTGAAAGCGAAGTTTGTTCGTGCTTTTTTTTCATGTGCTTGCTCGAGTGTACAATTGAAATAAACATAAAAAAGTGTGTGCTGTGTGGTTATCGTAGTGTGCCAAACGATTAAACGTTGTGTGGTGCATCGTTCCAAGTGTAAACTCATTGACCAGTGTGGCAGTGAAGTTCTGTTTAGGTTATAAAACCAAGCTTGTGTGCTTTTACGATGACTGTGAAAGTGGGTCGAAAAGTGCTTACGTGCAGCTTTGAAGCGATCTACGTTGCGACGAAATCTACGTGTTCGAAAAAAGAAAGCGAGTAAAAAGGCAGCCCGGTATGTCGTTATAACCAATACATTCAATACATTTTACGTTCAATATAAAAAATTCATACAAACAATTCAACTGTCATATTCAATATTCAATTTGTTTTTGTTTGAGAAGCGCCTGCGTAGCTTCATTATTTTTTTCTTCATACATACTGTTGAGTTATTTTCATTACTATTGTTTTACAGGTAATGTTTATTCTTAATATTAACAATTTTTTGAATATGAATAAATTTCGATTTAATTTTAAGTATGCATTGGTAGAGTAAATATATACATTGGTTTATGTGCTTATTTCAATTTCAGTATAAAAGCTCGCATATCTAACATGTAACTAAACTTTCTAACATCATATTAAGATAAGAAAGATATGTACTTTCGTAAATATTCTCAAAAGTTTTTTCAGCAATCAAATTTTATTTCAGCAGATAACACAATATTCTAATAAGAAAACATAGATGTATTTTATTTTACTCTCCCCTAGGCTACAAAGAGCAATAAAGTCCTTGAACACCTGTAATTAGATGAACAGGTGGGCTGGGACTTTCTGTTATCGCTGCCTAAGCTAGTATTAGTTAAACGCCCCCATAGCTACAATTATTTCGGTAAAAAATGTTTGTTTTTTTGTAGTAGGAAATGGCCATACGAATCCGAATTTGCGTGTTTTCAAACCGGAAAGTGGTCATAAAATTGTTTAAACAAATTTTTTTAAACAAATACCAAAAAAGCGTATTTTTTGACCCGAACCAAATTTTTACAGGAAGGGGTTTTGAGTCATTTAAAAAAATAGTCTCCTGTGTTTTTTTATTTGTAAAATTGACGTTTTTTCAGATAATAATTTATTTTTTTAGTTAGAAATTATCCTATACGCTCAGAGTATTAGTTGTTAGTTTTATGATTTTGCTTTGTAAAATTCACAAATAATTATGTTAATTTTCATTTGCACGATCAGTTTCTTTACCTTTTTATTATTTTTATTCATAATATAAGAATGCGTTTTTTTCACAGCGAAAATTACGAAAAGATTATAGTGATGAAAAGACAGCGCAGTGTCACAAACTCGCTTAAAAAAATACGAAAATTATAATTATTGATGTGATTAATGTACCGAGAGTAATGGTTCAAGTAGCATCCATGGTAATTTTAGTGAATCTAATTCACTCGAAAATAAATTAATCATCATTTGTTATATCTCGAATGTCTGTCTCGAAATATCATGTCGCGCGAAAATGTCAAAAAAAGCAATACTGGTATTTTAACTGAACACCAGGAATCACGACCTGGTGGTTCATTTAAAACCAAATATTAAAAAAGAATCATTTAATAACCAAACAATGCTTTTGTTCTAGGTTTGTAGACGTTTTTCGCCTAACACTGCCCATCTTGCAAAGAAATGAGATAACACGAAACAATTAAGCGCCGCTACTGTTGCGATAATTGAGCATTTTAATAAATTGAATTTATGCAACGTATAAATTCTTCAATTCCTGTATCTGAAGTTTTCATTTAAATGATCATACCCATTACCTCCTTAAGTCTAATCAACTTTTTATATTTTTCAGATTTTCTTTTATTAATTAGTGCACTCGATAAGTCATCGTAGTATTATCACCAATATTGATATCATAAAACATGTATTAGTTGTGCTGCTCAGTTGTTATTGAAAATTTTATGTAAAAAACAATTTTTTTCGTTTGCTCATAATATCTTTTAACATTACAGTAGCATGGTGATTTTTACAATAATTTTTATGTAAAAGTTTACTCTATGGTCATCTGTATTTCCTCGCAAATATTAATTTTTATAATATACATGTATTTCTCTTTGCATGGGTAACTTGAATCCTTCTCAAGTCTCAAGTTCAAGTTATTGCTTTAAAATTCAAACGATTAATATTGAAACTTTTAATTACTTTTCAGAACTTTCCTTCCGATCATCGAGGATTCATGACGACGATCTTCATATAATGCTCGATGGTAATTTTCATTTTACACTCTTCCTCTTACTTCAATACCATTTTTAACAAAATGATTTAATTTTTTCAGGTGCTCCACAAGTTCAGAATATATATTATGTAGAAAAACACAATAAACCATGGAGTAAGTGCGATTGAATTGCACCTCGATTGAGTCACGCAAATTTACGTTTAATATTGAAATCTTTCAGGCCTGTCGAAGTGGTTCTTGCCTCACTGTCGCGCGTGCAAAGTCACGCGCAGAGCCCTGTTGTACAGGCACAATTGCCGCTGCCCGAGCTGCGGCCAGGCCTACGACTTCGAGTGCAAGCGCTGCAATCACATTTACACGACCGAAAAGGCGGCGAGAAATCATTACTTTTACGAGAGCAATCGCACGAGGCTGCAGTGCCCGCACTGCCCCTATCTGACCTTTACGAATCGCAATCTCGAGGGCCACATACAGGCCATTCACAATTTTAATAATTCAACTAGTTAATTAATGCATATCGTAATATAATATAATGATGAAATTGTGATTATTTCCGATATTGTCGGACATTATTAGATAATTACTTTTTTTATTGTTAGATAGACGACCGTTGTAAAAAAAATAATAATAATAATTAATAAACAATGCAAAAAAACTTGACATTTTCTACTTTGACAATAGTGGAAGGAAAATGTATCGTAGCTACCTTATTCCTTTATCCTTTGAATTATCTTTCTAATGATGTAATTATTATATATCATCTTTTTGCAGTTGCCTCTTTTACTGGTGATGGTTTATCAATCTAGTAATTTCACGTATATCTTGCACGGTTTATAGATAATCTTCTCCTTACATCATCATGAACCAAAAAACCTTAGGAATAAGTTAATTATATCTACTTAAACTATCATATTCATAATAATATCTAGGAGAAAATCCATCGCTTGCATATATATAATCGGGCAATCGCTTATATAAACATAATTATAAAATAATATAATTCAGCGCGATGGGCTTTCTCTCTCTTTCAAACGTCTTCCCGGGTACATTGGATCGCTCTGTACTGACTCCAAGGCATTTCGGCATGCCGAATCCCTCTGCTTTATGTTCACAGTGGCCAGGAATCGCAGCAGTACCGCAGCAGCAGCAGCAGCAGCAGCAGCGGCAGCGGCCGCCGGAGGAAATCGCCTGAGCATGATGTCCGTGCTGAACCGCAACTTCAAGCAGTTCGCCAAGAAGAGACGTCCTCTGACGCGCAGCCGTAGCGACTTTCATCAGCCACAGCCGCCCAGCTCGAGCCAAGCCTCGACGCCGCTCCACCAGCAGCTGTCGCTGCGCGGCCGCGACGAGCTGCAGATCGAGGCACTGGACGAGGACGAGGCCTCGTCGTCGCGCGACAGTCTCGTGTTCCCGGCCTCGCTCGGCCTCGTGCCCCGCCACCAGCTCGAGCTCCAGCAGGCGCGCCAGCGCCAATTGCAGCAGCAGCGCGCCGCCGCCGCGGCCGTGGCAGCGGCCAGCTCCACGGCCAAGACCAGCTCCTCGGAGGCGGCCTCGACGCCGGCCAAGGCGACGCCGGCCATCGACGCGTCCAAGTCCAGCGGCGAGCTCAACAAGCCGAATCTGTCCATCTCGCCGGCCTCGCTGCTGGCCCAGTCGGCCCGCCTCGAGCCCAGCCACCAGCGCGAGTTCCGCTGCCGATTCTGCGGCAAGGGCTACAGGTGGAAGAGCACAATGAGGCGACACGAGAGCCTCGAGTGCGGCGACAAGCCTCCGAGCTTTCAGTGCTCCCAGTGCCCGTACAAGGCGCGCCAGCGGGGCAATCTGACGGTGCACTTCAAGCGCCACCATCAGAACGTACCCGGTCTGAAAGCCGATTAGCGCAGCGCGTGCGTAACATGAGTGAAAAACACCATCTTTTACACTGAAACAAAAGAGCGACTGCTACCGCTCTTTTGCGCGGTTCAACTGTATTCGCGCGAACTCGAGCTGCCCCCGATTTTGCAGTTCGGTGAGAGAGGCTTTTCGCTCTCTCTCGTCCGCAACGTGCAACAGTACGTTAGTGGTCAGAGGCCTTATTTACTATATATATAGCGTTAGGAATAAAAAATAAAAGAAGAAAAAACTGAATTTCATTGCAAACGCGCGTGGATCGTGGGGGTCGGATCACGCCCACAAAGATAATACTCATCGCTTAACGATATACTACTTACACGAAGGAAAGTCCTCGCGGACCGATACATTTCTCTCGGGTGTAGTAAAATACTGAACTTAGACAATGTTACTTTTTTTCAAATCATTTCACCAATGATGAATTTAAATTTGTAATCGTTAATAATATTATGATTAGTGATAATGTGATTTTTTATATAATCGTGTATAAAAAGTAAGGGAACGTCGTACAGGTAAATATTTTTGAGAAACGTTTTTGGAATGACCGCTGAATGGTATACGATTTAATGTTAAAATTGAAGCCCCTGTACAATGTTATGCAAATGCATTTGGTGCATTGTATTTTTTTACTTAAAAAAAAGAAGAAATTAATCATAATAACTCGTGCTCTCTTATTTTTAACAAATGTTTGAGATAATTTACAATGTACTATTGGGGGTGATTAATTAATCGTAATGACAAACTCATTAATTGCAACAACAAAAAAATGATACTCAATTAAATTACCACCCCTTCCTCGTATAATGCCTTATGTATATCTCTTACGTAACTTTTTTTTTACAATGAACTCATGTAGACATTCCATTAACATTTAATAGCTGATGACCAAGTTGAAAGTATTAATCTTATAATACAGTTAATTCGTATGTCCTATAATGTACTTATGCGTTAAGATTTTTGACAAGTTCAAATCTGTACCACAAATTATACGACTTATTACTTATTTAATTGAATTACGGGATTAGGGATTTTTAGTTGTCAAATTAAGAAGTTACGTTTTAAGACACTCATTGTTCAAATATAGGGTATTAATACTTGGTTTAAGTATGAATTTTCCAATTGAACGATAATTTCGTTTAACAAATCATGTCGAGTCCAAATAGATACAGATTATGCTCATCTTTTGCGCGTATTTTAGTATTGATTTTTCAAATCTACATTGAATGGTGTGAATGTACATTCAATTCAACATTTTAACACTCTACACTTAGTAATTATTTTTTAGCGTGAATTCTTTTAACACTTAAAAGTATATATACAGATTAAAAAACGGTTACGTAAATTTTTTGTTGGTTTAAGTTTTTACGTGTATTTACAATTTTTACATTCCAACTTCTTTTATCTATGATGCAGTTCTTAGATAATTAGTTTAGGTATCGATGAGTTTGAGTTCTCCTATTTGTAAGGAATCAAAATTTCGTTATTAATTATATTATTTGTACTTTGTAACTATGATATCGTAAAGGAGTATGGTTTTGATAACAGGTATTTTTGATATGGTTAATATATTTATAGACATTAAATATTAAATGTAATGAAAAAATTTTTTAATGTTCGATCGTATTTTTATAAGATGTAAGAAATAATATTTTTCACCAAACTGTATCCACGGTACTTAATCTCTAATTATTAAAGAATTTTTTAAATAAAATTTGCATTCTTTTTATTTATCAAAATGTCCTTAAAATAGCCATTTTTATTGATTGATAAATATAATTTGAATCATAAATTTTATTCACTATTAATTTTGATGATTCTGGTATGTTTAGTTTCATGATTGCAGCATTCTCAAAAGGAACAATATTTTCTGAATTCTCCAAGAAAATTTACTGTTTGGTAAGAAACATAAAAATTATTTTTATATGATTATTTTCTCGTAATAACCATACCATAATTTTTTCAGGACTGAATCTACTCACAATGGACATTTATTTTGCATAAACTTGAAATTTTCCACATGTGAAGTGACTTGAAACATTTCGAATGATCACATGGACTTTATTCTGCGACTTTTTTTTTATAAATTGCAAATTGTAATCAAGTTAATAAAACTATTAATGCCAAATGTTTTATATAACTTTTTTGAACTTTTAAACTATTGTTTTGTTATAAATATAAGGATAAAGTTGCTTTTATAATTATTGTTTATAATAATTTGATGCCACATGATTTTAACATTGAATGTTAACTTTTCAGATGAAAATACTCTTGACATCGCAGATTCAGCGATTTATTTCAAAGAATGGACTGATTCATTGGAAAACTCATATACGGCATCAATCGAATGTATATTTTCTTATTGATAAATTTTTTCACACTTTGTTCCTCGTATCATAATAACGAAGGAATATACCATTTTTCAGCTCTGTTAACGTCTGGCTTGTTAATTCCTGTATGCATCGATTGTGGAATGAACCAGCCAAACAATGACCCTCTGCAACCATCAAAATGCATCAAGTGCAACAGAGAAACTGTATTTAAATGCAATCACTGCGCATTTGTTTTTACCTCTGGAGCTGAAGCTCAAGAACACTTTATCGACTTTAAGTGCTGCTATCTCACAGAAACTGGCACTTTTAAATGTAACCAGTGTACTTTCACAACCGTCTACAAGCGGTCATTGAAAGATCACATGGAAAATATTCATAACTCAAACTCACCCTCTATGCATACCTGTAAAAAGTGCGGAAACTGGTACAAGTACCGCGGTAATATGTTGAGACATCAAAAAGGTTGTGGCAAAAGTCCACATATCAAGTGCGATTTTTGTGATTATACGTGTAAACGAACGGATGTTCTCAAGGAACATCTGCACTCGAGGCATAAGTTTTCACGATAATGAAAGTGTGCACTAGTGTAATTACAGATTAATTTATTTTTAAGTTCAACATTATTTTCATGACTTTTATTGATTAATTTTTATATCTGAAATGAAAACAAAACCATATAAATTTAATGATTATGTTATACTTTAAACGAACAATTTTTTTGCTTCTGTGATCAAAATAAAAAATAAAAGCGATATGTATGATAATTTCTCGAGTTTTTACTGTAAATATAGCGATAATCACATTTGTTACTGCCTTGATACACCTAGATTTAGAGCTATATCGATGTTAGAACTAACAATTGAAAATTAAATGTCATTTTTTATTTCTAAAGCGACATACTACTAATAATTATAATTACAACTGAACCTGATTTGCAGCGCACAAACTGCCCCACGATAACAATGGAATACTATTAGAAGATCAAGAAGCAGCTAATGATATAGCGTTGGATGTGATTAGAAATTCTGGTAAGCACAGTAGAAAACTTGTCTATCTGTAGTACTTTTTCAAAAAATACTGTTCAAATAAATCATTTCTTACCTAACATAAATTCTTACATATTGTTAAAAAATTATACCTCAACACAACGACCATCCAGTTAATCTGTGAATACAAAATCGACATATTGATTGTTCTTATTTTAGAGAGCTCGCTCGATATCATTCGATTGCCGTCCGGACCCGCGGAGCAGGCGACGACAGCTGGGCCGGCAGCTGCAGCGGCGTCGCTCACGTTGAATCCGGAGCAGGAGCAGAAGTATCCGTGCGACAATTGCAGCAGCGTCTTTAGTCGCAAGTGTAATCTTTATTATCACCGCAAGTACGAGTGCGGCCAGCCGCCGCGCTTTCAGTGCCCCTATTGTCGCTACCGTACGCGCCACCAATCGAACGTCCGGGCTCACGTGAAGCGCATTCACTGCGGACTCCAGGTTTACTTCATCGACGTGGGCCGACAGAACGTTCCTCCGACAGATTTATTTTACTAAATCGTTTTTAAAAAATTTTTTTTTTCTTTTCAAGAAACTCTAAGTATTATTATTGTTGTTTTCTTTAAGAAGATACCGAAGACAAATCAACACAAAGATTTCCATTTAGTATTTTTCTAAAAAGCTACGCGGATATTTCAAAAACAAAATAAAAGCTTTTTCAAAAAATAGTTAGTGGCAATCTCCAAAATTAATAATTTCAGTTCGGCTGTGTAGTATCTCCTTAATGAAAAATTATTGGCTTCAAAAATTTTAAGCCTCGTAGTGACTACATATATAAGTCATAAAAAACCCTTGTTTTATCAGTTATATAAGTATTATTTAAAAAATTATGCACTATGAATATTTCAAGTGTTAAATCCTGTATGATGTACATATAACATTTTAAATGTATAGCAATAATTAATAAGATACTCACAATCTATATAGATCAAAAGACATTTTTATTAATTTTTTAAGCTATGTTGAACTATTGTTAAGAAACAGTGTACTTTTTATTTTTTGGTATTTCATATGTATGATTGCTTTTATAAAATAATTGTACAAAGATTCTGATGGATAAAGAGTATAATTATGTACTATAATTACTGTTACAATATAACTTTATTCAAGTTAGCAATTAAAAGAAAATTTTTTATTCGATTGACTGAATTTATTTTGTTGCTTTTTTATGTTTTAGCCCGTTTATCCTCATTAGCGAGTTTCTTATTTACACAACTGCATCAAGAAAATTCTTAAGCCTGGGTAAAAATCAAATTTTCAATCTCAATTTTTAGATCTTCTACTGAATATATTTTCCTAAAATCCTTGATGGTTACCTTAATTTTGATGTTGTTTAGGGCATCATAAAGCCTATTAAGAAAATATTTGGCAGAGGTTTCAGAATACGAGACTATGAATTCGATTTTTATCCTGGTATCAGGATCTTCTTAACATTGATCAAGTTCATCAAACTTTTTTGTTTTATTTCTATAATATGAATCAAAATACGAAATTAATTTATGCTCGTCAAACATTGATAAAATAACAAATTGTTTCACAGGTAATTTCGGACTACATACAATCGATAGCACTAATTTTCCCTTGAATCAAGTCAAGGTTGTCATACCCTTAGATGTACTATTGCAAAGTAGCAGGGGTAACTTAAAAGAAGAAACAGACCAGAGTAGGTTTTAGATTATATTGATAATACAATTCAATTCGAACTCATTTTCTAAACTAATAATACCTTTTTTGCAGGTCCAGAAAAAAAAGAAGAATTGAGGCCACGAAGCCAAAGAATTCGAAGATTACCTAAAATCTTAGAAAATTTTACCCTTGTATCACCTCCGCAAATTCGAAGATATAGAAATAGTAGTACTAGCTTTCGAAATTTACCGAGTAAACTAACTAAAGATGACAAATTGAGCGATAAATCTGAACTACAAAAACAAGATGAAACTAAAAAAATTGAATCAAATAAAACATTATTGGTTCAAGTAGATGGGCAAAAGCCCGTATTTAGATTTGGGTGTTCAAATTGTAGGCTAGAGTCAGATTACAGAGGCAATATGGATAGGCACATTAAGGGAGTGCACAAGGGCAAAGGGTCCATTATGTTAATTCATAAAAAAAATTCAGTATTAAATGAATAATATCATCTATAAGAAACTGTTACTCCTTTCATTGTTTTTTATCTTGATATTTTTTTTCAGTATAGTCCGTTACGGTGCTCACATATTTTTAAGATTATTTAGATTACATGATTTATAAATTTTCTCTTTAAAATGTATTATTTAAATAATTTAAAAACCTAAAATAGTTTCTTTTCATTCGCAATCTAAAGAGTACTCATAAAAATTTATTATAAGAATTTATAATAAGTAAATATTTATTTCAATAAGATTTTGAAAGAATTTCATTTCCATTTTTCTTGATTTTAGATCTAATATTTTATTAATCGACGATTACTTGAGAAGTGATTTCAAAAAGTGTAGAACGTAATGCATTTTACTAATGTATTTTTTGACGAAAAATTGACTTAAATTATACTAAAAATTACAACTAGCTTCAAAAGTATCGAATATGTAATTGTTGTATCGTTAAATTTTTTTAATTTCTCTAACAATTTTTCAATTGGAATAACCGATAACTGATTTTAATTTTATAATAAACATGTGCTACTTATTTTTCTTAATAAAAAACTTGAACCAACTCTACATTGTTACCTGGTATTATATAGGCAAAGCATGCGCACCACAAATAGACATAATGCATCTACATCGCATTTATCGATATTTAAGCAGTGTATGAAATTTATAGCTTTTTATCGTAATCACGCCTGAGTTCAGCTCGAAGTTTTTCTTTAAAAAAACAAATAAATAAATAAACATCTCTATCTCATCTCACACTTACACTTTCATCAATTTCGCTTTGTGTTTTTTTTCACAGCCTACGGAGATCCGCTGAACATCCACGATCCGGACTTCACGTATTTCCCGCGTCGTCGGCGCAACGTCATGACCCAGCAAGAGTATCGCCGACTGCTATCGTCGATAATCGAGCTGCCGACGCCCTGCGACAGGCCCGACGACCTCAGCACTTATCGCGGCACACCGAAAAATTTCCAATGCCCCAAGTGCCCGAAGCGCTTCTCGGCCCGCAGCAGCGTCGTCCAGCACATGCGCTACGACTGCAATCGGGCGCCCAGGTTCGCTTGCCCCTACTGCGAGATACAGAGCAAGTGGCCGTTTAGCCTGTACAAGCACATAAGAAACGTGCATCCAGGCCTCAAGGTCTACTGCAACGACATGTCCACGGACAAGTGAACCTTCGTACAATTCGTACGAGAGAAAAATAACATAATAATTTAACGAGACTGAATAAATTAAGTCCTACAATGCTGATCGTACAATTTTTGTATAATAGCATTTAATTAATTGAGTGTTGAATTACTAAAATTTTTTCGTTAAATGTTAGTTCCTGTATAAATATTATTATGAACAAGATCAAAGATTAATTATGAAAGTTATTGGTTTCATGTTTTCGGCTTTATTAGTATCCGAATTTTCTGTATTCTAATATAATAAAAACGAATCACTTGTTAAATGAGAAAAACATTTATCAAGAAGTTATACTACCATTTGAAATAAAATGTTATATTTAAAATTAGAGCGTAAGCTTATTTATTAGACGTCATTTTTTGAATTGCATTAGCTTAAGAAGTGCACAAAAATTTAATTTAGTTGTATTTGTTTCCAAAATAATTTCATGATTTTGTCATTTTTACATTAAGTTTTAAGTGACATTACTTTAGTTCGGATTATTTCACACACTCTGTCGCCTTTTTTTAAATGATAAAAACTTGGACGCACGATCGAACTAAACGTTTCTTTTATTTTTCATCCACAGACTGGTTATACAATCCGATGAATTATTTTGAAGAGCCCACGCCTAATCAGATAGGACTCGTGTTTGACGAGTCGTCCGCGATGCAAGCAAAAGTTTGGCGCTCGAACGGCCGGAAGGGCGAGCCGAAAAACTTTCCCTGTCCCAATTGCTCGAGCGGTTTCACTTACGAAAAGGGCCTCAATCAGCATATCAAATATGAGTGCGGACAAAAGCCAAGATACAAGTGTCCGTATTGCCATTACGCGAGCAAATGGATGAACAATATTTACAAGCACGTGAGGAACAAACACGAGGGTGCGGAAGTTCGATACGTCTTGAATGATTAAAACGAGACTGATTGTTTTGCGATAATTAATAATAAGTAGATCACGGGACAAGGGAGGTAAAAAGAATGTCGCAGTTCACATGTTAAATGTCACCCTAGGTGAACCCGAGGTTTAAAAAGATGACATCTGAGGAATTCTTTTTTACTTCCCATGTTGTGAATATATTATTTTTCTTGAGCCTCTCAACAGAAAATAACAATGACGATTTGACTGTAGGACCAAAAAAGTTACTTTTGGTTGGGAAATCAAGAAAAATGATTTGAGTACTGTCAAGTACTGTGATGGAGTCAAAGAGTACTTATATAAAAATGTTGATGATTTTTAAAAAAAAAATCATTTATTTTAAGCCATCGATTGAAAGATAATTGTAAATATTCAGAGAAGTATAATAAATAATTTCGAAACAATATTTTATATTGCTACTCAATATTAATCCAATTCTTAATATTATAATTAATAATATTATATTATGATATTGTACTTTAGGAAATGAAAATATCATTTATTAATAATATTGTTTATTTTTCAGAATATCAAGGTTTAAAAATGTTGAGTTTTTCAAAAACATCTTTGCACTAAGAATCACCGGAACTTTAACTCGTTACTAAAAGCCATTGATTCGAAGAGAGAAAGTAGAACTACTTTAATTTTTACCACTCATAATTCAATATTTTTTTTATAATTTTTGGTTTTCGTTCTACGTGCCTAATAACTCGTTAAGTTTACTGTCAGTAGAATATGAATAGTTAGCATACACACAGACACTTAAAAAGCTTCAGGCCTCGGCTATAACAGACCAACAGTATGGTTTTATTTATTTTATTGATTTAAGTAGTGTCATGATTGAATTTGTTTTATGTTTTACGAAGCGCAACTTGTCCTGCAACAAAAGCAAAAATCCATTTTCACGTTTCTCCACGTTTGCAGATATTCGTCGGCGGGCAGCGTCCTCGGCGGCTGCCCTGAACATGTTCCGCTGCACGAGATGCTCGCGCAAGTTCCGAGTTTACAACAGCCTCTATCGTCACGTGCGCTACGAGTGCGGGAAAAAGCCGCGCTTCGGCTGCTGCTACTGCTCCTACGTTACCAAGCACACGAGCAGCGTCTACGTGCACGTCAAGCGCATGCACACCGGCCAGCAGCTCGGCTACAGGGACGTGGCCGGCGACAAAATCTTTCTCAAATAAATTGCCAGACATTATTTTGTAATATAAACATACCGAGCCAATTTTTCTGACTCTTGTAAAAAGTATTAATAAATTTTCGACGATTGTTTTTAACATTACTTCCGATGAAAATTTTCAAGTTTTTTTTAAATATCATACTTGTTAATACAATATTTTAGGCATTCACAATATTTTAATACATTTTACTAATGTAATTTTTTATGTTTAGGTCAAGAAGAGCAAATTGAAAGATCGAGAATGGCTTAAAAATAATTGCTTGAAATAATGAAATATTTTATCATAACGACCATCTCCTACCGCTGTGCAATGCCAAATGACAAGGCGACACATGTAAATTAATTATAACCATCAAGCCTGGTATACTCCATTATATCATTAGCTTGTAGAAATTTTTTTTCATTTTTATATTTCACTTTTTTTTCTCCTCTAATACTCATTGAAGAATCATTAAAAAGTGCCAAGCTTGTGGCTTATTTATTACGTAAACTGCAAACTCAAATCAGCGCATCAGCGCGCGCGTATCCATCAAATAACTCGAGATCGTGAATTTTTGCAGGTGTTGAGCTTTCGCAGCCGCAGTGGCTGATTTGCCCGCATTGTCCGCGTCTGTTGGAGACGGACGAGTGCCTCCAGCGCCACTTGCGCAGCCACGATTATTCGAGGGTCATCACGCACGATCCACTCGGCCGAGCCCCGCCGGCCATTCAGCACAGATGCAATTATTGCGAGTACACGTCAAAATACACGTCGAATATACATAAGCACGTGAGGAGAATGCACAAAAAGAATAGCATCATTAGCAGAAATTAATGGTACAATACAGATAAATTACGATTTTTAAAGAGCGCCTCGATCGAAATCAATTAATTATAGCGGTTGATGAAAAACGTAGTTTAAACAATTTTTTTTCAATCCTATAAGACACCCTTTGTTGAGTAGACTTTTTTGTTTTAGGATGAAATTTTAATTACATTAGGATCAAGATTATTTTTTCTAACGAAGTATAATTTGATTTATTGCAGGTTCAGAATTATGGCCTGGTACATCGGTTTCACCATTTTCATCAACGAATTTGGTCTGTAAACAATGTGGAGCTGGTTTCAGACGACCAAACGATATGATTAAGCATAACTGTAACGCACCACCACGTTTTGGATGCCCTTACTGTCACTTGAGAGGAAAACAATCCTCAAATTTATACAGGCACGTAAGGAGATGGCACCCGGAATGTCCTGAGCGTATTATCAAATTGTTTTGATTTTGAAGAAATTGATAATTATTGTAATTATTTTGGTATATTTTCATCATGACTCGTTGTGAATCTCTAATTTTATTGAAAAAATCAACAAACCATTATTTTTTGCAATTCATCAAATTTATTACGTATTTTTAAAATTTTTGTACATATAGGATGTAATTTAATATTTTTGAATTATGTATGATGAACAACTGTATTTATTCAGTCATTAAATTTAAGAATTATTATTTAAAAACTAAATGCCTGTTCAATATTTCATGAGTTAGAGGTGTCATTTTCAGCAAACTTTTACAAAAATCTTTGAATTGAAAAATGGATGAAACGCAATATTTCTTCCCTTTTTTCTTCCTATTCTCCTAGCTACATAAAACATCAAGAAAGTCACAAACTTCACGTGAAAACCAAATGTGTAAAAGGATATTTACACAATAAAGAAACTTTTATTAACAAGCATATTTAATTTTTTCTAATTATTCATATATTTTGCAGGTTTCATCATCAATTCTTTTATATAATGGAAATAAGAAGAAATTGTGATAAAACATAAATTAATAGTATCACTTGAATTTCCGCAAGGAGACTTTTTGGAGGGATAAATATTATTAAATTAAAAAATGTATTGATTATTAATAAAAATGAAAGATGTTTGTACGCATTGAATCAAACACTCTGTATGTACCTGAAAATAAAAAATGTTACGTTAATAAATAATTACGAGCAAATGAAATGCATTATTGACAATCAACTGCACATTCAAATTAGTAAAAATTTTAGGTTTTTTAATAGAATAATTTAAATATTTCTCAGTTTGTTGCAAAATTACCCGCATTATTTCTCAAGCCAGTTACACCTATCTTCACCTTCACAGACGTGTTTTCGGAGTTCTTTGTATAGCTGTAGATGTTTACTTCAAGGTAATGCAAATTTTATTTTCCATTATATTTACTCAGTTTTGGTTAATTTTTTCAATCATAAATGTTATTTAATAGGCATATTAACACATCTATCACAAAAATTGATTCAACAATTGCTCACATATTTTGGCCATCAGTTTTAGGATATAGACTTGCCACACACACACTCATACACGTGCACGTAGCCGAAAATCATCATTAAGCTTTTTCTGAATACGAATCTCTCTCGCCTTGTGCCGATTAAACTGTTTTCTTCTTTTCTGGTTTTTCCCTTGCAGAGATCTATAGGATAAGCCTGCCAGAAGATCCGTCGATGCCGGATCCGCAATTGATTCTCTTTGAGCCGGACACGACGCCGCAGATCAGAAATATTAACTCGGCACCCGGTCGCTTTCCTTGCGGGCGCTGTGGTAAGGTTTACCGCTGGCAAAGGAATCTGACGACGCATCTGAGAATCGAGTGCGGAAAAGAGCCTAGCATTATTTGCCCGTACTGTCCCAGAAGGACCAAGCACCGAAACAGCATGAGGCTGCATATACGCCGAGTGCACAAAGTCACTGTTTAAATTGATTATTGATTATATATTAAAAATATATAATTTATAATATATATTGTGGTTGAGCATTTCAAAAAGTTTAATCAAAGTAGAATATTGTCAGTATTACAAATCATTATTACTATTTGTCTGTTTATTGTGCACTATCAATTTTAATTTTGTTCTACTTGTACAGTATTATTGATTGGTATGGCTTAATGTTAAAGCTGAATGATATTTTGAATATCGAAATTTTAGATAACCAGTAGAGTAATTAACGATGCTAAGCTGTGTTTGTGGAGAGTTGATTTCTTTTGAAAAAAGAAAGAAACAAAAATTATCAACTTTGTTTACCTTTTTTTCCTATGATGCTTACACGTTTGCAGATGCCCTACTATTTCCAATCGTAAGGCCGAGAGCACACGTCTGTCCACGCTGCGGTCAGACTTACACTTGGGCGTCGAATCTCAGAAAGCACTTGAAGACGGGCTGCGGAATCGTCGTTTGCGAAAGTCAATTCTCATGCCAGTATTGTCCTTATAAATCACGCTTAGAGGCGAGTTTTCTCAAGCACTTGATTTCCGTACATAATATCAAATAGAAAAACGATCGAGGGCAAATAAATGACGAATGAATGAACACACAAGCGCACCCAAACATATCTAAATGTAATTTGGATAGATCTTAAAATACGAAGGGCCATGTAAAAGCCTTCTTAGGCGAGTACTAATAGATAAGACAAACCAAAAAATAATTTCACGTGTGATTTTCAGATTGTCCTAATGTGATTTATTCAGTATTACGCGCACATAAGGAATATTACATGCCATTATATCATAACGAGTTCCTTGATTGGGAATGTTATAAATAAATATGATAAATAACTGTCACTTAACATTATTCCACAATTACTTTAAGCGGAATCGGACCAAAAACTTACAACTAGTTTACAGATTTTACTTAGATATAAAATGATATTATATGATAATATATTTCACATATCGATACATTAAAGCAGGCGATTTAATTAAAATTCAATGTATTTTATAACTTGATTGAAATATTAATTGATAAGATGAAATTCAGTACCAATGCGCACTATCATCAACGTAATGTTGTTAACATAAATGAAATAGATCGTGAACGAGAAACATATACGTGTCATTTTTCTTAGCAAAGAATCGAAAATCTCAGTCATTAACGAGTGAATTTAGACGAATGTTTTACAATTTAGTCTACAATATATGCATAAAATGCAATTGTATTTAATATGAAATATATCAACGTGTATCTAATGGTTAATTAATAAATATGTATTTGAATGTAATATTGAGTTTCAAATAAAATGTGCAATATTACAGCACTGGAGAATGGATTTTGAATTAGAACCTGTAGTGGCAATCATCTTCAGTTCGTTAAAGGTTTTATCATTTCAATCGAAATTTATAAATTTCTTTTCTATTTTAATTTATTGTTTATAAATATTTGCATTTTCATTTATTTTATAGTTACGTTTTTTTTTGTTAACATAAACAGATTCGAATACATCCAATTATTTAAATTAACAATAGTTTAGTTGGGACACTTCTTTATGTTTTCTACAAAATTTGATTCATTTCTCATTTATAAATAATTTTTTTAATTTCAGAGCGAAGTCAATTTCCAAGAAGTAGTCGGCGTAATAGTAAATTTGATGTGAAAAGTACATCTCCGGAAATTATAGACATGGCACTAAAAGCGGTACTGGGAGGTTTATCGCTCCGTACCGCCGAACTTGTATATGGCGTTTCAAAATCAACATTACAAAGAAGGAAAAAAAAAGTTGAAACCAACCCCCAGCCAATCGAGGGTGTCTTCATTATTGAATAAACCCTTATATATAAAACTTTTGTAAACACATTTTGCTAAAAGAGGAAGCTTTTTTTATAGTGGTTAGCATATAAAAGTATTTTTTATCATAAATGATATTTATGATACGGTCGATAATGATCGATGACGTGATGTCTCTTCCTTGCTGCAATAAGAAATAGCGCAGGCTTTAATTTTAGCGCTCTATAAACTTGTAAATAATGATCGTTATTTTTGCAATCTAATAAAGTACGTGATAGTTTTAATATTTGTACTTAATACTTGTTTTGCATCATTCCCTAAATAACAAAAATATAATAAAAATTTGTATCCAAATATGCTTACGTCTAACCAACGATACATCGTGTTGATCGTCAAGTTTCTTTTTCTCATTAACACGACAAACATTCCCTGCCTTCGAACTCACATAATATGTTTTTTTTCTGCTTGTTCAACAGGACGAAGAAAGTCAGCGTTAAAAGAGGATGACGTCGTCGTTTACCTCTGCCCCAATTGTGGAAAGCGTTACAACTATCA